TATATATAGTGATCAGTTGGGAATAGGAAAATTCAGTGACTGATGACGTCACCACTGAATTATACTACTGTAAATGATCGGATACTACAGCATAGGGTAATACGTGAAAAAATAAAATACATACGTTTACGGTCATATTAAGGTCTTCACTGCATGCTCTGTATTTATCATAGGCACGGACACGAATCAATAACTCATAATCGGGAAAATCTCCTTGTGGTAAAGGTGTCCGGTTTGGAAGCTTACTCTCTAGTCCTGAATAAAAGTATTTAAAACATAAATTGTATGAGACTTTAGTACCAAAGAGAAGTAAATATATTAATAAGGAAAATATTTTATCGAAAATCTGTGATTGGTATACAGAAATATAGCATAAATTTAAATATTAATACCTAAAACTCTATTCATCATTCAAGGCTTAGGTGACAAATTTGAGTGAATTTCTTATGCATGACGATACAATACAGCCCATATATATATTGGCAAATTTCAGGTATTTGTCACGTAATACTTTGGACAAAGCGTCCAAAATATAAACGTGTATAATATAAGTGTGGTGACCCTGGTTGACCTACCACTGTATATCGTAGTCCAAATGCTTGAGTTTCTTGATTTAACACTAAACTCATATCGTATGGGTTTATCAACATCGGTAAAGTTACTGCACTCGATCATGAATGTCGTATTCACAGCAAATCCAGCCAGCGGTTCTACATCACATATACCAACTTGTGGGAAATCATTTGCTGATACTTCCCAGCGTGTTTGGGCTACAAATAAGTAATGAAAATTAATATATTCATAAAATAGACAAATTAAACAAATCAGTAGTGATGTTGTTAGTCTATGAGTAAGATCATACTTACCTGGATAAACTGATAAATGCCTAAGTTTTCTTTGAAACTCTCGAGCATAAAGTAAAGATAATGGACTCGCCCTACCTCGCCTGTATACGCCCTGCGTGAATGAACAATATTCTCGTTTCCTTTTCGCTTTTGTCTTGTATAGACGTGTAAGTATTCACAAGATAGACATATATGCATAGCATATTTTTTTATTTTTACTGAGGGCTATATTTAATGAGAAAATCAACTGGACATCACAAGCATCAAGATGGCCGCCTTGACATTTATATTGTTGCTTAAAAAGACTGATTTAAATAAAGTTACTTTGCTTCATGCAGAAAAGGATGAAACTCTAAGAAATCTATTTTATATGCACAGAAATCCAGAAAATTCAGGCTGAGAAAATAAAGTACTGGATAAAGATAAATTTGAAAATGGTCTCAAGAGATTTTAACGAACCATACAATCTACACAAATTTTAACAACATGGATGTGTATAGTGCCAATTATCCACAGTAGAATGCAGTGGTGCTATGGCAATGGTAATATTCAAAGTACACAAAAACTACTGAGGTTAATAAAAAAAAAAAAATAATGAAGTATAAAAACCCCAAAATTGTTTTGTATAAGTATAAAGATATTGACAGAAGATGAGGTTCTGATAGAGTAGAGCATTCCGTAATGTAATGGCAGCACATTTTAATTACGTTTTCTTAGGTTTTTATGTCTCCACCTGCTTTGCTCAGGAAGGTGCTTGTTTGACAATCTAAGAAGGGATTGCCACCTATCTAATAGAACAGTGATTAATTCACTATTGGTAATGTGCCTAAAGGAATGAAATGAAAGAAAATAAAACTCAAAGTGATTATCAAAAATTGCGCCAATGTTTCTACCAAAGTCGAGCGTGGAAACCCGAGAACAACATAAATCTGATTGACCTGAACTGGAGAGTACATCAATAAAATCTTACTTCTACAGAAAAGGGCCATTAGAATTATCTCAAATGAAAGAAGGCTTTTTCATATTCCTCCTTTGTTTTTAAAACCTGATATCCTTAGAATTAAAGAATTATATGATTTCTGTGTTGGGGTATTTATGTTTCAAGCTAAATCTGGGGATCTCCCATCTAATATTGCCGATCTTTTTACATTTAATAATCAAGTCCACTCATATCAAACTCGACAATCTGAATCCTTTCATGTCCCGAAGTTTCGACTTAAAACAAAGATCAATACCATCTTCTTTTATGGTCCAAAATTCTGGTTGACCTACCTATTTGCATTAGGAATTTAATCCCAATATCCATGTTTAAGCGTCACTTAAAACAATCTTTAATACTCAAATACAAAAACCTATCTTTCTCTCGGCTTCTGGAGAGGGATCAACGTTTATTATTATTATTATTATTAATTTGATTATGATGAAGATATTATTGTAATCTTAAGTTTTGTAATTAAGTTAGTTTCTGGAATCAGTTTACAGGCTTGCCTTCTTGATTTCGGCATTTGTTATTTAAAAAACGAGTGAAATAAATAAAGAATCTGAATAATCTAACTTCACCTGAATGAGAAGAACCTCAGATTTTTTAGTAAGCCACTGTTTGAAATGAATCGCGCATGCTTGTATTGATTGGACTGCAAAAGTATAATAGTTATTCTTAAAAGAGTAGGCAGAACCATGTGTCATTAGCATATTGATGGAAAAGTATGTTGTGTTATCTAATAACCTTGCTAGAAGGTGTTGATACCTGTTGCCCTATGTTTGGAATCAACTTGCCAGGAAGTAGTCAGTTCTACATTGTAGATTAGTCCAGACTCAAAGTAATTTTTGTTGATGACAAAATTGGCTGAATTTCTGCCTGTTGCACTAAATGACTCATAATCAACTCCTATCTCTTTATAACTGGTAACATTAACTGTATACACATTCCACCTGCATAGAAGAAATAAACAACATGAATAATAAAACATTTATTGCAATATCTGACTGATGGATTAATTTGTTTTCATTTTTCTAAATTTGGAATTAGAAAATTTGCCTATCTTTAAAGTAGGGTTTGTAGTGGTTTGACTTTCACAAAAATGTTGTGTAAATGAGGTGAGATTCAAGATACATTTATTTATTCATTTCAATTCAATTAGATTGGTCCTCCAAAGTCCTGTTATTTTGAGCAAGATGTCAACTGTTGAAGTTCAATACAATTAGGTAGGAGAGGGGATGATATAAGCTTGAGAATTTGGATCAGTTGGATTGACATACATACTAGAAAAAGCGGGCTGATCAGTAAGATAAGGGTACATGTTTTGGTTTCTATCTGTCTGCCCTTGTACTTCCAGTGTATGGAGTGATATCTTGAGGGCTAGGAGGGGTCCCACGTCTCCTGGTGCTTAACTGTCTGTATTAACTGACTAATAATAAACTACCTTTGATTGAAATTTTGTAATATCAATAAATAAAATAAGTAAAAAATATTTACCAAAATGTATATGCCTCCGGATTGGATACATTAAGAACAGACTGAAGACTAAATCTCCCAGATGGGTTGGTTCGCTCCTGACAATTTAAAACACACCTAATAATAAATGACAATAATAAATGGTACGTTAGAACTTAACATATAAATTTCAAACATAATCATTGTCAGAACAATTGGCCCATCACATTCATACATATGAGGGGTTTGCACAGCGGGTACAGTTTCATCGACATCGATCCCTGGCTATACATTTCACTTGTGTCCTTGAGCAAGGCACTTTATCTTCATTGCTTTTTCTACACAAAAGAGTACAAGTGGGTACCAGGTAGAAGTGGTCGGTGCATCGGTTGTGGCTTGGACTCCTTGAGGTTGGGGGATCGAGACTCTCGCCGTGCCAGTCGCTTGTGTCCTTGGGCAAAGGCACCTTATCTACATTTGTCTCTTGCCACCCAGGAGTACAAGTGGCTACCTGGTAGGTTCAAACACAACCATGCGCTGATTACAGCTGCAATATTATGGGGCTTAAGTGTTGTGTTTCATGTGCCTGATCCACTGACCGGGGATAATAATGTAAAGCGCATAGAAGTTAGTCTACAATATGCGTTATATGCCGACAATTATTATTATTAATCAGAATTTTGAACATATTCAGGTTTTTGCATTTTATAAAAGAAGACACATTGAAGAACATTTAAAAAATAAAATAAATATTAAATATTAAATTAATAATTAATTAATTAATATTCATGATAATTTGCAAATTTTGGCAAAAATCACCAAAACTATCATACGAACTACCTGGACATAATTTATTCTATGTTTTGCTCTTTAAGGAACATTGTCAAGAATGAATGTCCATGATGGTGACAATACTATCAGAAATCAAGTCAACATATATAAAATATTTCTTGAAGGTTTGCATGGCGAGTATCAGTAACAAAATCATATTTGAAAATCTTGCCCTGAACGGGTTCCCGAATGCCGCCCTCAACTCAGGGTCAAAAGTGGAACATGAAATTTGGATATGGTTTTGTCAAGGAGGTATAAAAATAAATACCTCCTTGGTTTTGTAGTCAGATTTGCGAGAAAAATTTCAGCTACCCGTATTTCCCGACTGAGACGTCAGTGGGAGCTGTAATTTTTATGGCAAGGAGATTGAGCAACCCTTCATTCAGAAACTTTGTAGTTATTAATATTTTGGTTATAATAGAAAATATTCATTTTTTTTGGTGACGTCACACTTACGTTAGTTAGCATGCATACGTCATAAGCTAGATACGTCACCTTTTCCTGGTAAGGCAAACTTTCCCGGCGTGCTTTTTTCATGGATAAACAAACACCACTGCTTTGCACATGGATGCCTTGTCCAAGCCAGGGCTACAAGAGCTGCATTTTTAGCATTGTATAATACTTAAATAAGGTACCGTACCTCTGCAAATGAATTATTCTTAGTTATTTTTTTTTTTCTTATTTTAATTTATTTCTTCCGAAAGTGTACTTTCTATCACATATAATTCCACTGTTTTAGTTAGGCCTAGGCCTAGTCTTATGCCTCATCGTCCCCCGCTACACAGTACATCAGCAGCCCCTCCCCCATAGTACAGACGTTTGCTAGGTAACAACGTGATTGCATCTTCCTTCCCAGGTGTTCATGTAACATTGACATAATTGTTAGCTAACCAGTTGTGTGTATTTCTTTGTGAAAATGAGTACTGCGGCGTACTCATTTTCACAAAGCATTTGCATCCCCTCTTGGAAAGAGGGATTCAAAATAATTGTCTCCATATCTTTGCTAATTAAATTAATCACCGTAATTTAGCTTACACTTATGAATTTAGGGAGCACTTAAAATGTGAAATAATCATTTCACTACCTGACAAACTCTGAACTTTATTCATTTAAATTGCTGTACTATATACTCCAACATCACTGGCGCATGGTAACAACCAACTGACTGCAGACCATTTCCGGTCACACATTACTCTCCATAACACAGCACCACCTAGTTCCGTCACCTCTGGTTCATCATTAACCACCAGACCAGTCCAACCAGAACTGCTAAAGTAGTTTGCCTTGCACTATATAGGCCCCACCTCTCATCAAATCCAGCACATTCTGAACTTGTCCACATTGGCCAAGTTTACCATAGTGCACCTAACAAAATACAGGAGATACGTCACACACATACAAAGATAAACCTTCACCCAATAAGTGTCCAGGGGTATACAGGATCCCGTGTGAATGTGGTAAGTCTGCACTGGAGAGACCGGTAGAGACCAATCTACCACTCTTCAAACAATCTTTGTTTCAAGAGAAACAACAGATCGTCGATGATTACCATCTCTATTTAAACCAACAGAAATCATCTTTTATCATTCTCCTGATGGCGGTCAGAGCAATCTCACTGAGATGTTGAGACAACCAACCAGTGGTTTTACCTCAAAAAATTAGGTAAATTATTACCATGGTGTACAGGAAGATTTATGATTTCGTTTATAACATATATAATAATTCGGATATAAACTTTTATATTAGTGGCACTCAGCCACGAAGGCGGTGCATCCATAACAAAGAAAATTAACACAAAGGCCTAAGAAAAACAGCACAACATGTACTGCTGATAAACAAGATGATTATTGTTAAACAAAGACCTACTTAACACCTTTGCTTTGATGCAAGCTCTTTAGAGGCTCTGAGATCATATACCTATTAACAGGTCCATGCTGAGTTTTTTTTTTATTTGATTGGATTTATTTGGTTTCATAAAACATTACAGATCAGATTAATTAAACTTGTCTAATATTAAATCAATGACTTTATTAAGAGAAACATTAGTAAATAGAGAATAAACATAAAATGAAATTAATCAATAACCTGAATATGATTCAGAATGTTCTTACAGTTAGCATTATGGACTATATTCATTCTTAACAATGTTCTAGTAATAAACAATGATACATAGAATCAATATGGCCTTAAGTTTGCTCACCTGGACAACTTTTATAATAATAATATTTTCTAATCCTGAAAACTTTTTTGTTTTAAAATAGTCAGTAATTAAAATGTGGTCCAAGTAAAAAATTTCCTCGAACCTCATTAATTATTCATACTGCAATAAATTCACTTCTATGCAGATGAGACTAACATAGGGATATGATTGCTGATTTTGTTAAATGGTGTAAAGATGTTGGTAAAACAAAGGAAATGGTAATAGACTACAGGGAAAAAATGTGACCCTATTAATACTCTGTCATCAATGACAAAGAAATTGTTATGGTTGAGGAATACAAATATGTTGGGATGTGTCATAGACCACAAGCTCTCATGGAAGTCAACTACAGACAAACTTGTCAGCAAGTCTTCTTAGAGAATGTACATATTGCGTAAAATGAAATCTCTAAATATTGATGCTACAATTATGAAACTATTTTATACCTCCTTGATCCAAAGGGTGTTAAAATACTGTCTGATTTGCAACTATGGTAATTTATTTAAAAAAGAAAAATACAGGTCATATCGACCTATTGGAAAGGCTACAAATCTGATAAGTGATGGTTTAGTTCAGTTAAAAAAACTTTAAGAGGATCGAGTTATTAAAGCCGCCATGAGTGATACACTCATCCCCTAAATAAACAGTTTGTTCGTACAGTGCACAGTGGCAGACTTTGTGTACCAAGAACAAAAACAAATCGTTCCCAATATGCATTCGTAGCCAATTCCATCAACCTTATTAATTCTCGAGCCAAAATATAGTTGTATGGTGGCGTTCGTTTTAGTGCAACCACTGGTGGCGGTATGAAGTAATTATTTAAATAATTATTTTACACCTCCAGAGTCAATTATAATAATTACAAAGTGTTGTTCTTAATGCACTGTTTTTTATATGTATTTTGTATATAAATCTGATTTCTCTTGTATATTAATTTATTTAAACCTTTTATTTTTATAATGAAAATAATACAATAATAAAATATAATTTAATTTTCAGTACTTTCGTGATTTTAAATGTTAGTTAAGTTATTGTAAATGATAATAATTAATAATTATAATGTACGGTATTACTTCTTAATGTAATGTTTTTATATGTATTTTGTACTATATATAAATTTGATTTTTTTTTTTGTATATATTGAAATTTTTATATCTTTTACAATAATAATAAAATAAAAATAATTATAATTATACTTAATAATGGTTATAATTATCTATATATTAATTCTGTAAACTGCCACCTCGTAACTTCACCAATCTCCTCTGAAAACACTGGCAGGAATGTACTCATATCTCATACACTGGGGTTTCTATATGTCATATACTCTGCTACTTTTCAAGGTTTGATTTGATATTGGATAACAACGCAAAAACCTGCCAAAAACCATGAAAATCTGTACCTGTTTCTCCATGTTTCGCGAGTCGCTTACGTCACATAAATAAATTTGTAATCTGTACCACCACAGTGCTCAGTTTTAAAAAATATTGCATCAGGCAGTAATAGAAATAGTCTGTTTCGCAGCTTCATTACGTCACCCCACATGCCTCACAGTCATGTCAGCAAAATATATGAGCAGCATGTTCCCGCACACCACAGAGTACCCGTTGTATGCTGAATATATTACTGTAGTCTTATATGGCTCAAAACATCAGTAATAAATGGCATGCTTTACAAATTGATCAGGTAAAAATAAACGTACGTCTGGGCACAAGCCATCATATTATAAGTTAGGCCAAAAACCGGGCCTAATAATTTTGGATTGGGCTACCCTAGCCCTACGCTGCTACAGACAAGCCTAGCTTGCTCCACCAATCAACGCTTTGAATTTAAAAAAACAGGTCGGATCATGAACAGGGGCGGAATTTTTGAAATTTCAATGCATTTTAATGTTTTGTGCTAGTCACTTATCTATTCTAAAGCTCTTGTTCCCCACCCTCCACGTTTGAAAAATTCTGGAACCGCCCTTCATCAAACTGGACAATAATTCCTCACAAGGACTATTCAGGAAAGACACTCATCTACAAAGACATTATCTACAAAGACGTCATTTACAAAAATAATGAGACATACTAACAACTTCCCATACCATTCAACAATATACATAACAAAACACGCCACCTTTCCCCACTCATCCAACACCGTGTGGAGCACCGATATAATGCTAGTAATAATAATTATTATTATTTTCAGTGCTGTTGCAATTTTAAATGTTTGTCCAGTTTAAACGATACAGTTTTCTTAATGAATTACTCTTCTTACATGCATTTTGTATCTAGATTTGATTTTTCTTGTACACATGAATATTTTTAAAACTTTAATTGGCTATAATTTCATACTTTAATATTCAGTGCTTTGATTTTAAATTTTTGCCAGTTTTCAAATGCATTTCCTTCTTTTTGTTGAACAATAAATTATTTCAGTATTCTATGCCTATAATATTGATTTTGGTATCAAATTGTAGGATTTTTGGAGTAGAATTTCTTTCTAAGAAACTTTCTGGAAGGAACTTCCAACTTGTGACCCCTAGTGAATAAATTATTATTAATGATAAGTTATAGCTTACTTCAATTTGATATCTGGTGGATCATTCTGCTGTACAAATATAGTTTGTCGAGCAGTGGCCTCACGATCGCCTTGTGAAATTACTAGCATAAATTCATATTCCATGTCAAAACCTGGCTGGAAATCTTCAACTTTAACACTGATCTTCAATTCATTATCAAACTCAGTAAGGTGTCCTGAGGAAGCAATTTGTACACACTTAGTATTAATTTTTAATTTGTATGAAAAAAAGTCTCTAGCGAAATTCACACCTGCAGCCTCTCTGTCAAGGCGAATGTCATTGAGAGCAGGGACCCATGGTATAGCCACAATTTGTACCCCCATGAACGTCTCTAATGCAACTGACTTATAGAGTACTACAGTATTACGTCAGGATACCACATGATACTACTCCGTTGCTATCGTTGCAAAAGGTGTTCAACCGGACGCCATTTTCTTCACTGACAAACCATTGATCCCAATTTCTAATGTAATTATTAAGATGTTGTATCTTACCTTTTCTTTGTAAATTTTAATTGATGATTACATGTGTGTTTGATATTCTAATATAATGCGAGCATTTGTGTTTTTAGTACATTTTTATGGTAAAATATTAGATTTTAAAATGCCTATTCCAGAAAGTCTATGAAGTCATTCAGGCGTAATGAACAGTAACTAACGCCTGTTGACAACAGAGAGCGCCATCGCGTCGCGACGACAAGTGGTACTCTATACACATTATTGGAGATATGGTTAAGTTACCGAGGCTCCCAAGGCGGGCTGGGCTTTCTCTCCTTCTCCTCATGGTACTTCAACGCAAGAAATTTAATTACATGTACGGCAGACAAGCTAGGATAAGAGTTACTGCACTGATATCTGGAATTTTAGGAGTACTACTACTTTTAAACTGTTGAATACCGTGTAGTCTCCTATATCTCTAAGCACAATAAAAGAAGAGCTTTGAGAACAATTGTGAGGTCCCACCGACGCAGCAAAACATGGCGAGGTGGTCGAGAATTAAATATTCCACGCATAAACTGTGTTATCGCGTTAGAAGTAGAAATACTCGACCCGTCAGGAAATTTAGGTACAATGACAGTTAACGCTGACCGGTATCCCGCTATGGTGTGCGCCTGCGACCCAGATTCTAACCAAATAACGAAGGAAAGTACACACATCCCCTAGAGAGGGAGACAGTGGATCAATTTCATGGTCGGAACAACATCAAGAAAATGCTTAAATGCGACTGAGTGTTGTAGACGGTCCTAGTGGACTCACGGCGTGATTGGGCGGCAAGGGAAGCAGGGCCCTCTGGAAACCCACCACGTCTGAACTCATCCCGGACAAACAGACAGTCAAAGACAGGGACTTCAGGTTGTTCAGTCCTACCTGAGCTTGGGCCTGAGACAGAAGGTCCAGGCGAAGCGGTAGAATGCGTGGGAGATCTTAGAAGAGATCCAACATCAGAGGGAACCACCTAGGAGCTACAAAGAGGACCTTGCACGTGTGACGCCGGATATGAGCCACCACCTGAGGAAGAAAAGAGAGGGGTGGAAAGGCGTAGGCACAAAGACCGTCCCATGGGATTGACAGGGCATTTGTGGCCCAAGCTGTGGGCTCTGGGTAACGAGAGCAAAATACTGGGAGCTGCACTGTAAACCTTGTCGCAAAGAGATCGATGTGGGGTCTGCCGTAAATGTACAAAATGTGCTGAACTACCACCGGATGAAGCCACTATTCTGTGGGCAGAAGGGACTGCTTTCAGGACAACGCATTGGCTAAAATGTTTAACCTTCCGGGTTAGGGTCAATAGCATGATGTTGCCATGTGTAACAACAAAGGGTTGAGGAATGTGTTCCCCCCCTGACGGTTCATGTATGACACCACCGTGGTATTGTCGGTCTGAACAAGGACTACTTCTCCTTGTACTCGATGCAGTCTTCGCAGGACCATAGTCTTGGAATGTGGAGCAATAACCGCCCACCCCGACTCAGACGCATCTGTGTCGATACAGATGCGTGGAATGGGTTCGGGAAACAGTTTCCCCGCCCTAAGGACATCCTCCTAAAGCCACCACTGCAGACGGGATGCTACAAATGCTGTCATTGGTACAGCAATCCCCAGATCCCGAGAGGACAGGGTGAAATGGGACAGCAGATGGAGTTGCAAGGGACGCATGTGAAGACGGCAGTTGGGTACGAGATCCACAAAACTGGCCAGATACCCCAGAACCCTGAGCCACAGTAGAGCTGGAGATGAAGGATGTGCCAGTAGGCATGAAACGGCTAAGAGACACTTGTGTATCCTGGATTCCAAGGGCGACGCGACTGATCGCCGCAGGTCAATGAGAGCCACTAGGTACATGGGAAATTGCAAAAGCACCAAGTTTGACTTCTCCCTGTTGATCACGAAACCCAGAGACTCTGTAAGATGCATCACAACGTCGAGGTGATGTTATATAGTATTAAGATAACTTACGAATATAGGCCAAGTCAATAAAACCATTGGACTGAACTTTTACCTCACTAATCCAGTGGGCACCTGTTAAACGTCTCCTTAATTATTACATATGAAGTCTTTGAGAGGACAATAGCCAATTCATGACAAAAAGCCCAAGTGGTCAACTCCTTACATTTGATTTATAAAATAAGCTCAATTGAGAGACAGCTTGTTACTAAATATAAGTTAAGTTCTACCCCCAAAGTTGTTATATTATCTGACCAATAGAAACTCCCCAAAATGATGTAATAGTCAAATGATTAGGATAAGGTGATATCTTTCAACCAATCACAGAAAGTCCACCACACCCCAAGCTTGTATGAAAAGTAAAGTATTAGTGGACTTCCTTCTGATACCTTGAAGGAAACACTACGTTTCACAACCCTTACTTGTATATATTGTATATATCATGCAGTAGAGTAGTAAATAAACGCTTTGCATTATAACCAGAAGAGATGTAGTCAGTTCAGTTATTGAAAGTAAACCATCTCGCTTGTCATATCACTACAATATTACATAGTGAAGATCCAGTCTTTGCATCCGAAACATAACATTGGAATCGGGCAACACCAGCTTGAGCATTACATGGCGGACTGCCATACATAATATTACAGTGATTTAGCAACACCTGTCATGATGCAGCAAGGATTTACAGTATCGATTATCCAGTCGTACAGGTACATGAAAATCCGAATCCCCCTGGCATGGAAAATAGCCGCTAGGGATTTGACTACTCAGTTAAAAACCCATGGAGCTGTAGACAGGCCAAAAGGAAGCACTCGAAAATGGTAAGTGAGACCTGCCAACTGCAACTGTAGCCATTTAATAATAATAATAATAATACACATTTTTAAAGTGCCTATTGCAAACAAAACTGGCTTGTCACTGGCGCTGGAAGAAGTTGAACTATTTAAAGAGGAAAGACTTAAGAGCGGATTTGAATAATTCTGGATGAGAGATGATACGTAATTGAGGAAGCAGAGAGTTCCAGAGTTTAGAAGCAGAGAAGAAAAAAGAGCGTTCACAAGTACGAATTTGAGGTTGTCTGGGTGAATAGGAATGTGGAAATATGCATCCTCTAGGTCTACAGTCACTGCCCAATCGCCAGGCTGAAGACCCTGGAAAACCACAGGCAAAGAATCCATGCAAAACCGTAGGGGCCTCATGGACAAACTGTTGAGGCTGCGAAGGTTTAAAATTGGACGCCAACCCCGGACAATTTCTCTATGAGGAAAAGGTGGACGTGAACCTTTCGACTGGAGGTGAGACGGTGACTAACGCCACCGCGCCCTTGGTTAGCAAATCTTCCACCCCCTTGAAAATGGCCCCTCTTTTTTCCGGGGTGGGCAGGGGTCTGAGTCACCCTGTGAACGCCTACCGGCGGCGGGGATGTGAATTTGATTCGGTATTCCTGGGAAATGGTTTGGAGAACCCAACTCTCTATCGACACCCTTCTCCATGCATCCGCAAACAGCCCCAACCTTCCCCCCACAGGTCTGACACCACATGCGGTGGTGGTGCGGACCAACCACCACCCTCAACGGTAGAGAGGACCCTCTGCCCACGCCCGCCCTGATGACCACCATAATAAGCAGAGTCAGCAAAAAAGCATCTGGCACGAGAACCCGCGGGGCCCCAGGACTAGAGGAAAGAGAGCAAATAACTAGATGCATTGACAGCACGCATGCCTTCACCAGCTGCCCTATCGGCCAGCTGAAGGGCGTCTTCCACAGCAGCAAGCCCTTGTTCAAAAAAACACCAACTGGGACCCGGCAGAGACTAGCCTGTGATCCTCACGGAACTTGGTCCTTGCCGTCCTAGGAATTTGAGGGGCCATGATAAGGGAGTGGAACTGGCTTCAGGCACAGGAAACACCGCAGAGAGATGGCGCGGAGCCGCCCTACGGGACAAACTATTTTGGGCCCGTGCATCCAAGCAGGCAATAAGGCTACTTCATCAACAAAAGTTTCTTATTACAGTTATATGGAAGTTACAGTTACAAAAAAAGATGTCTCTGGTGGGAATCGAACCTACAATGTGTCGATATATCGATGAGCGTCATACCGTTTAGACCACCGCGGCCTATACAATATCATTACGTATCTAAGACACAAATAAAGAATCTTGAATCCTGAATAACAGAATTAGCAGTAATAAAACCAAGAATATACATAAAAACCAGATAAAGTTATTTTGCAGATTATTATTAATATTATTATTACAAATTTTTCCAATGTTACATACCTCCAGCTTTATCAGTACCATTATAAAAGCAGCCTTTAGTGATGTTCCATGAGTTATTTTTTTTTGCATATTCAAATTCTGGATTCACCTTGCCACTACTGGTTACATTTCTTTTGTCTGCAAATTCTTCTATATTGGTATATATGGTTTCATTATTGTAAACGTATTTCTTTTGACGACATAACCAACTTATTGTAAAGCTTTCTTCACCTTGCGAATCAGGGTCGATTGTTTCTTCAGATGCATCAATCTCAAAAGTAGAACTGTTGCCAAAGGTACGATATGACCCGCCACTTATCCGGGCTTGTAAGTCTGACGACTCAACAGTGATTTGGGTACTATCGGTGGTCTCGAGACCACATTCTTCATCCATTTTCACAGTCAAGCTTATTTCGTAAGTGCCATAATTAATTCCAAAGCTTGCCCTTGGGATACTGAGCACAGGCAGTGGGCTGCCAAATGTTACCACATTGTCCGGCAAACTATAAGGCCCTTTATCATCACTCAGTTTCCAATTGTAATATGCAACGTTTGTTGTTTGGCAACTGATAGTAACTTCTGAAAACACCATGATAACATCGGCAGATTTGAATGCTCGATTTCCGTATTTGTCGCAGTTAAAATTTTCATTGCATAAATTAAGTTTCTTTACTGATACAACGGGAAAGAAACATGGTTTTTTAGTTATAATTTGCTGTATAAATCTAAACTGGTAAGAAACAATGTTAGATGCATTAATAGAAACATTATGTATGCATGTTTCGTTAAACTTGTGTACTTGTAATAATGAGGCATAACTTCCATTGAAACCTGTCTCCCAAAGCTTGTCAATGTCAGGGTCAACTTTTATTTCAGTAACATTATATTGCATTTCACACATATACTGGTCACCTGTAAATACAACACTGCTGTTGCAATGCTGCACATCGAAGTATTCAAATCGATAGCAAACACTAGTTCCAAATATGGATGCCGTAAGAGTAAATTCAACATTTTGTGTCTCATCCTTCGGTCCAGGACCTGTGATTGTTAAGTTTCTCATAGCGCCCTGCACATCTATCTTTACACTTGTTACAACTGAAAATACCGGATTTGACGAGTTAATCATAACCTCATATATACCTGGGTATGTGTATTCATACAAGGCTTCGGGGATATCAGTGACATTGATGCTATCTTTGTAAGTATCATTGAAATCCCAATAATATGTAATTCCTGTTCCATTCGAGTAACTAATATTGACAAGAACTTGACGATCCAAAGGGACATATATATTGCCTTCAAACTCATGAGCCGGCTCTTCTGATTTGTTTCCATTTTCATTAACATCAATATAGTACACATGAGCCCTTACTTGAGTGATTTGTTCAAGAATGGTGAAGTCCCGACACTCTGTGCCATTTGAAACTTCATTCCACATGTCAATACACACATGATAGTCGCCCTCTACGCTGTAGTTTTGATTGAAGCACTGCGTAAGATTAAATCCATCAAGCTGGAATACAGAGCTTGGAAGGATGCAGTCATCTTCAGCTAAAGCTATATCATTACTTATTGGATTGTCAACTGAAGTGTTAAAATAAACAATAAATGTGACGTTTGTTGGTAAAGAAATATTCTGATTCTGAAAAACAAAAAAAGGTACTAACACGACTCCACTTACAACACCCACAAAGGGTAGAAGGTTAATTTCCTGAGAATGAAGCTTCACACCATCTACAGGATACTGAATAAATTGATCTGTTGCCATTCTCGCTGATACATTACCAATTAGATTTGATGCGTAGACAGTAACAGGATAGACCCCAGAATCATTGTATGAGTGGCTAACTTCAAACCAAGACTGGTTACTTATTGTGTAAGTTGACGAGTCGCCGAAATCAACTACAAAAGTCACACGCGACCCCCACGTAGTGTTGACATGAAACGTGACATTCCAATTGACTCGCTGATACTTGTGCGATGTAAAAATTGCAAGATTTTCTATAGGCTGTTCCATCTCAATCTCAATGCTATAGTTGATGTAACTGATGTGGTTTGAAATAAAGATGTCGATGTAGTAAATGCCATAAGTATGTAAATAAAGAGGATGATAGGTTCTCTTAGTATTCACATCAAAAATGAGACTGTAATGCTGTTGCTTTGTCTCCATCCCGGTGATATTATACATAGCAGTTGCATTTGTTGGAAAGTCATGTACATCTCCTAGGAAATCATATTGCACGTCAAGGGTCCCATTGCCAGTTCCTATAGAATCTATCCGTCCTGGAGAATTTGGGGTCAACCGGATCTCTCCAGCAACAACTGGATTTTCTACTACTACAGGATATGAGACGGCTTCGCTGCTGATGTTATTCTGGGCATAGAGATAAATAAGATAGACATCAGGGCGTATGTAGGTGTGGTTAACCCTTTGAGGGTTTCCAAACAGCACATTGTGGTATATCTCTACAGATGTCTGATCACCAAATTCAAACAGCATAAGAATTTCCGTTCCATTGGATGTATAATCCAGAAACATAGTTTCATTGGTCGATAAGTAGTTAATTGTGGGCTCCATTCTAAGACCAAGAATTACTACTTGAATATGTACTACAATGTTGTCTGTTCTAGGCCCACTAACTTCATTTTCAGCTGTCACAGACACAACAAAATTACCAAAAGTTGGGTACACTTCATTTCTAAGTTCACAAAAACCAGAGTTAGTGCTATCGTTAAATTGCAGATCACTTTGTTCAAGATCAGTGTCGTTGAAAGTTGCATTCAAATGAAGATCCGATCCATGGGCTGATGTCAATTCCACATCATAACCACTATCAAAATTTAAGATTGGGGTTTGGTGGACTTGGAAATCGGCAATAGGTGTCTGTATAAATGCTTCAGTGCTAAAATTGACTCTGCTGATTTCATTATAAACAGCAAATTCTACAGGTATGTTGGCGTCTGTGTTCGATGTAAACAACAATAGACCATTTCCTAAACAAGTAGAACAAATTACTATTAAATCAATGAAAATAGAAATTGTTATCTTTAAAAGTTTTTCAATTCACATCAATATTAAGTTTATTGCTACATGATGAGTCATCTTACACAATTATCCTTGTTAAGAATGACTGATTTTCCAAAACATATACACCAAACAATTACAATTAATACTGCAAGACAAAAATTATAAATAAAAATTAAGAGCTTTTTAATTGAAATGTAATTAGGGTCAAGGACAGTGGTGGCTCCAGAAATTTGCAGACAATTTTGAAAAAACAATGAAGGATAAATAATTTTTGCCAAGACTCAAAATGGTGTACCAAATCTAGCAAAGGTGAAAAACTTGTTAGAGGAAGAAGCAGAGGAATCAAAAATTTTAGCGAAGAGTGTTTCAATGCATAATTTCATAAGAGCATCACCATTGAAGTTGACGTGTCTGTTTGAGGAACATTTTTTTGAGTGGATGCAGAATGTTACACTTGGACTATATCTTAAAGATGTATTGTTCAATGAAAAATACCAAAAAAAAAAAAAAAAAAAATTTTTAATCCTTTTTGAAATTAACTTGCTCATTTAGGAATAAATAAAATAGTAGCCAACCACAGAATCACTCAGAAGATAATGAGAATGATGTAGAGAAGTTGAGCAAGTTTGACAATTGAAAACAGAAGAATGTAAGGGACAATCAGGATTTTGGACAATTTTCGAAAAACAATAAAGGATAAAAAATATTTCCCGAATCTAGAAAAGGTGGGAAGATAGAGAAAGAAGCATGGGACAATACATCTTTAGGATGACAGTCATCCACCAAGAAGAGAGGTATTGGCAAAGGCAAATAAAAGAGTCTATGGAAATACAGGACCATGGCACCCCACACAAAATTGGCAGTACTGGAGGAAGTGTTGTCACATGATCATTTAAATACAAATTCACGCTTGAATGATCATGTGAAAAGTGGATCTGAGTACTTACAAGTTACATCAGTCTCCCTGGAGATGTTGCTAAAGTAGCAACGAAAGTACAATAAGCTATATTATAATAATTCAAAGTTCCAATTACAATAAAAACTAATCAAAAAATAAAAATTATCAATTAGAATTAGAGTATTTATAAAATGTTTACCCATGACCTTACAGTAAAAAATGATAAAAAACTTTCAGGCACTGGATTTTCATCATATTATTACACATTTTTTATATTCAATCATTTCTTTGCTAAAGTTCATAATTTGTGTAATAATACGGAAACATGAATTATCTTTTTTTATTTTTTTTTATTTTCAGGAGACAATAAATTTTTTTAATAATTGCTGATAAAAAGAGATTACTTTATAAACAACACATAATTCAAAATTATTAGCAATATTGCCAATCAAATCAAATTATTAATTATTAGCAATATTGCCATAAAGAAAATAAATATTCATGAACTTTCTTCACCTTCACAACCAATCAGCTCCAAGCAAAATTCACCATCTGGCCAATTGCTAGAAAAGATTCTAAGATATCTTGCATATAAAGTGTCCACAAAATCATCAGCCGTATAAAACATATTAGCTGTTTTATTATCTTGATTGGTAACTGTAAAAGTCTTCAAAATAAAAGAAAACCACACAGTTTTAATTAGGTACATATTTCCCCAGTAAAAGATATTATGTCACACCCACATATGGGCATCCGATGCCAATCACCCATATGTGGGCAAATCAAACATAAAAACAACAAAAGTTGGACAGGGTGGACAGAACTTTGAGCCCTGTCTATCAGACTATCAAACTTTATTCGATTCGACAAAACATGTGACATGCCTAAATATGGTCATAATGACATCAAATCATGTCCATATATAGGCACATCATGACTATATATGGGAATACAACAGTATTTTAATAAAGAAAGTTTTAATAATTTAGACAGCACTTTTGTAATAATCTAGGCATTTTGCAGAATTTTAAGGCAGGCATTTAAAATACAAAACCAAAACCAGAGCCTTGCAGGCGTCAACGTTCCTATGCATGATACACGACTTAAAAATACACGTATATATATACGTATACACGTATATATATGTATATACGCGTGCATATATACACGCGCACGTGTACATACACACGCGCGTGTATATCTACGCATGTATATTATACGTATAATATATATACGTATATAGATTTAGGCATATATACATATACGTGTATATATACGTATACATGTATATATATATATATATGTATACATGTATATACATATATATATATTATTTATAAATAATATATATATATTATTTATAAATAACATATATATATAAATTATATATATATATAAATAATATATAAATTATATATATATAAATAATATATAAATAATATGTATATAAATATATATATATATATATATATATATATATATTTTATATATATTTTTTATATATATAAATATATATATGTTGTATTT